CAAAATGTTATAAATGTAATTTTGATCATTATATTCATATACTCCCTCCGTTACATGTTACTCGTAACAATTACTAAAAATGGCCCTTACACATTACTCGCAACAAACTTTTTTTTCCTTTTATAGTAAGTTTTTTTGTGTGATTTTACAAAATTACCCTTACTTTTTTTAAACACCCTAATTAAACTACTGATTTTATCTTATTAACTTAAGCCTTAAAATTAATTAACTTAACCATTTCCACCAAAATAATTCCCCTTCCATCTAAATTCATCATCACCTTCTTTGGCAACCACCACCACCACCACTACCACCGATCTCCAATCTCTGTTCATCACCCAGAAATTTCTCTCTTTGTTCATCTCCCCTCAATTCGACCGCAACAATCTATGGAAACCGCCACCGTCACCGGAAGTCACTGCCGCTGTCCCCTTGCTTGTGGTCGCCTCTGTTTTCTCTCTCTTCCTTTTCTTGTTGTTTCGTCATTGCCACAAATTTGAAGGTTTTATGGTCAAATTTAACCATAAAAACTCTAGTTCTAGAGTTTTGATGGTTAAATCACTACTAGAAAACAGGCCATTTCCGATAGAAAAATTCCGTCGGAAACTTCTAAGGGTTTTCCGACGGAAATTCCGTCGGAACAGGTTGTCGTAAACCAATTTGTAGGAAAAACGGCATTTTCCGTCGGAACAATGTTTTCCGAAAGGAATTCCGACGGAATTTTCTCATCGGAAGAGGAGTTCCGGCCACCGGAAAGTCTGTCGGAAATTTTCGACGGGATACAAATCCGCCGGAAACTTCCGACGGAAATTCTGTCGAAAACAGCATAAAAAAATAAATAAATAAATAAATCAGCACCACCCCAACCACCCTACCCCGCCCTGTCCAGCCACCACTTCCCCACCTAACCAACCCTCCAACCCACCCACACCCACACCACGCCTAACCCCACACCACCCTACCACCTCCGCCTAACCCAGACCCACTAAACCCAGACCCAGACCCACCAAACCAAACCCAGACCCACCTAATAACCCACACCCCACAGACCCCACCCCACCCAAACCCCCCATCCAAACCTCCCACATCCACCTGTCCAAACTAAACCTCCCCCACCACCCTGACCGGACCCCCACCCTGTATAGCCACCACCAACAGCCACCAATTCGTAACAACCACCAATTCGTAAAATAACAAATCGAAAAAAACAAAAAAAATTCATAACACCCAAATCATACAATAGAGATCCGAAAAAAATTCAAAATAACAAATGAAATAAAAAAAAAAAGAAATATATATACATTTATCTTCTGAAATTAATAGAGATCCGAAAAAAATTAAAAAAAAAAACCCTAAATCTACAATGTGTCGCCGTTAGGTTGGTGTCGTTGCTGCTGGTGTCGTTGCTGTGGTGGTGGTGTTGTTGCGTCACCGTTTGTTGTGGTGGTCGAAGAAGACGAAGGGGACGAAGAAGGATGAAGGGAACGAAGAAGAACGAAGGGGACGAAGAAGAACAGAGAGGACGAAGAAGGATAAGGAAGGAGAAGAGAGAGAAAGAGAGGGCGAAATGGAGAAGAATAGAGATCAGAAGAGAAGAGAAGAGGAAAGAAGAGAGGATAGAGAGAGAGGAGAGAGAAAGAGAAATGATAGGGGGAGGGGAAAACCGGGTTTATTAGGGTTTGTTAGGTCTGATTTTTTTTTTATTATTATTTCCGTCGGAAAATTAATGTTTCGACGGAATAATCTGTCGGAAATTTCCGGCGGATTTTATTTCCGTCGAAACATTAAGTTTCCGACGGAATATTCCGTCGAAAAGCCCATAAATTCCGACGGATTTGTAGTCTATAGGAGATCCGTCGTAAATTTCCGTCGGAATTTATGACGGAAAAAACATGTCCGTCGGAATTTACGACGGAAAAACATGTCCGTTGGAAAGGCGGGAAATGTTTTTATGAAGTGATGACATCCATGTGTACTTAGAGGATAATTACGAGGATTACTTTAGTATATAAGTATAGATTCTATTTACATCATTTGCAAGAAATTCAAAAGCTGAAAATTGGCCAGGTGAGTTTTTAAACTTTTGGTTATGGTACGGTGGTCCTTCAACTCGTAATTTGGCTTTTCATCGGCATTACGAAATTTGTTGTGCACTCTAGCATTTTGGTGACTTAAATAATTCTAAACTCATAGCCTTTTTCTGATATTTGACATTTTAAGTAGTAGTACGATTTTGTTCATTTGTACGGAAGAGGAAGGGGAGGGACATAATTTATTCAATTCTATTATTCATCAACTTAAAAATAATTGAAAAATCTATTCCCACTAAAGTTTATATAAAAAAATTGACCAATTGATCAATATTATTGATTCATCTAACACTACACTTGTTATACATTTGCTAGGCTCCTAGGGGGATATGAACGGAGAATTTCATATTTGGCCGAGTCATTTTGGGCAGTTAAGCGGAGCACAATATTAAAGGGACGACGATGCACCAAGATGGTGTACCATGGCTAGAATAGAAACTTTCGAGAGACTCAGCCACTCAGGACTTCCACTGGTTTTTAAGGCAAACTTGTAGAAATATGATGGGACTACTAGCAACAAGAGGGTTCACATGATCATTATAATGATGATATGATGAACATCAAAATCTTGTGTATGTCAATAGTGTTTACAAAAATGTCAAATCTTTGGGATTTTTGGTATGAAAGTAATTGCTGATCGGGTGATCTTTCAAGTTTTCTAGCACCAACCGGACTAATAGCCTAATATTGCTGGGATTTTTGGCATGAAGCAATTGTGTATAGTAGCATAGCTCTAATAGCTAGTGATGGAAGTTTTGTATATAACAATGAATTATAGTTACAAAAAATGGTTTAAATGTGGAATTAAATTACCATCAATTGTATTTTATAATTTCCTTTCTTTTTAAATCTAATTTGGGATTGCGATTTATGAATACATATTATTACAATTTGCTTGTCTATTTTCACTCTCAAAATTTAAAACAAAAATGAAAAATAATGTGAAATTTAATTGCCATCAATTATGCACTAAAATTTTGACCGTTTTTGTTTCTTTTACTACCGTATCAAAACGTAAATATTATTATATAAAATGTTATTGGAATAGTATCAATGCATTATGCATATTATTATCAAATTTTATATATTTTTCTATAAATAGATAATAAGAGTTATTGATAGTCAATGACGAATATTGAAAAACATGACAGACAAATGCCTAAAAGTGTCGCATTTTTTAAAAAAAAAAAACTAGAAGACATATATTTACGAACTTGGATTATACTAGATTCAATTTCGCAATCTCAAGTTTAAACATCAAAGTCTAAACTATTAAGCTATGTCTTATTACATGTAATTATCTTTTCAAAACGAATCATAGACAAATAATATGAAAAAGACATGATTTTATAATGACAAATTAAAGAGTCGTGTTTGTTCTTGCAATAACGCTGGATATCTCTTGAGCCCAAAAACTAGCTTTATTGAACTATTGATTATTATTATTGTAAGATAGTGATACCATTAATTCAATGTTACAAAAACTCAAGTATACATTTCTTAAAGTGTTACTAAGTGCACCACGACCATACCTTACTAAGGGTTTGTTTAGTTCATCTTATTTTTACTTATTTAAACTGGTTCGATTTGAACTGGTTTGATCTGAACAGTTCTGATCTGGTTTGGTTTGATATGAACTTGTTTGATCTGATCTGGTCTGGTCTAGTCTGATCTGATTGTCAGATTTGATCAAACTTTGACCTTAAGTGCATGTACGATAATCTATAAGGAAAAAATATATCAAGTAGGAGTCTTGTTAGATTTGTGTATTTTATTAATATGTAATTTTCATTACGAAATTAAAGATATTTAGCAATAAAAAACTGCACATAAAACGATGATATGATCTGAACTCATTTTTAATGATCTAATCTGATCTGAACTTCTTTTTTTTTTTTTTTTTTTTTTTTTTTTTTTTTTTTTTTTTTCTGATCTGATTTGATCTGAACTTTTTTTTCTGAATAAGTTAAACTAAACAAGGCCTAAGTGCACCCCATCATCTCCGTGTTTGTCAGTGTTACACATACCAAATACTGTCGTATTTTTTTCAAGTGTTAGACCATGTTCACTTCACCTTATTTTTACTGGAATTAAATTATTTTTACTAAACTGAAATTATTTTTACTAAACTACAATTAACTAACTGAACTGAAATTATTTTTGCTAATTTTCTAATATAGTTCTTCTTCAGAGTTACTACTCCGTAATTTTTATCAAACTAAAGTTATTTTAGGCCCTGTTCACTTCACCTTAAAAAAAAAAATATTTAGTAAAAATAATTTTAGTTCAGTAAAAATAATTTCAGTTCAGCAAAAATAAGTTCATTTCAGTAAAAATAAGTTCAGTTCAGTAAAAATCAGTTACTTTAAAGAAAAAATATAACAGAAAATCAATAAAAATAATAGAAAATTAGTAAAAATAATTTCAGTTCAGCAAAATTAATTTCAGTTCAGTAAAAATAATTTAAGTTTAGCAAAAATAAGGTGAAATCAACGGGACCTTATTGAAAAAATTATTTTTGCTGAACTAATTATTTCATTATGGCCATGTTTGGAAATGACTTTTTGATTAGCTTTTGATTTTTGGCTTTTATATGTGGTTAAACAGCCAAAAAAAGGTAATTGGCTTTTTAGTCAGTGTAAAAGTTGGCTTTTAAGCCAAAATGAAAAAGCTGCTATGATTCTGTGAGTTGTTTTTTTTTGTTGGCCCACAAATTATCTAATAGACAGCCAACAACTAAATTTACGAAACAGTTTTATAAACAGCTAGCGTAAAAGCCAATTTCAAAGCCATTATAAACAGCTAAACATTCCAGCTGATCAAACAAGCTAAGTAAATCAGTCAACTGCAAACAGCCATTTGCCGAGACCTATATTTACTAAACATGGCCTACCACACGCAACTAGACGCAAGGATGTAAAGGAGTAGTTCAATACGGAGCACTTCACCATGATTCTAGAAACCCAAAGATAAAACATCCAGAACAATCCAGAACTTACTCTTTCTCTTTTCTTTTTCTTCACTAATGTTCTTCTCACCTTTTCAAAGAAGCAATTTGTAACACTTCGGAGAAATTTAGGTACAATTACAAAGCATCTATCATTTCGTAAGCCTTAATTCCGATTGAATTACAGGTTAGGTTTTTTATTTTTCATTTTTTATTGTTTTTGAATCAATTTATGAACTTTAATTTTTTGGATTGTTATTATAATTGATTTTCATGTTTGTTTGAATGTTTTATCTGTGAATTTTATGAAATTTAGGTTAATTTACAATGTTTCTAGTTAGGTAGCTCGCGAATTGATTGAAATTTGATTAAAATTGAAATTGCATAAATTTTTTTGATTTTAACTTATGTCCAATTTGATTGACTATGTTGGTGTGAAATTGGATGAATTTGTGCAATTGTTAGGCTACTGTTTGATTAATATGCAGCTGATTATTTATCAATTACCTTGCAGAAAATGAAATGTTTTCGATTATTGCTGAAATCATTGAAAGTTGAGGAATTTATTATTGATTTATTCTTGCATTTGTTAGGCTACTGTCTAATAATCTAAGAATTGAGGCATTAATATATAATTTGATACTGTAAAATTGAATCATGAATTATTTGCAATTTGTGCTTTAAATGTTTGAGGTGAAGTCTGTCGTGAAAGACAGAAGAAATTTGTGGTTACATAGGCTTTTTGTTTTGTTGAACTATCCTGATTTGTCGTCTTGTTGCTGTGGTCTTAGGATAGATCATTACTTGGAAAATGATTAAGAACTGAAATTGCAAACTTGAAGAAAGTGTGATTGAATGATCATTGGCGCATTGTTTGGCTAGTTTCTATTTAGCCAATATGAAGATCTTGCTCTGAATCTATTTTAAACCTTTCGAATTTTCTCGATAAAGCAGTGAACTGATTTAATAAACTGGAGACCTTGTGTAATGATTGTCAAGCAAAGATCTGCACTTCAGATATCTATGCATCAGAACTTGGTGGCTTCAAAAAATAAGCATGTTTTCGGTGGTAATAAAGATCCGCATTTGCTTTTTTTTTGCTTACCTACTGATTACTCACATACTGCTTTATAGATACTAGAAAAGCAGGTAAATAATGTTTGGAGTAGTATTTCCAAACCGAAGTTTCCCGCTTGACATCTCAACCTTTACACAAATTGACACATTCCATTGGGTTCTTGATATGAACCACTTTGTCGGTAAGTTCTCTCTTTCTCACTTTCAACTTTTCTGCCTCCTTAATATATATTCTTGGAGTCTTCAGCGCAGTTATTACTGTACTACTCTGGCAGGAGAGGCATATGATCAAGTCAAAGATATGTGTATTTTCTTGCTCAACAATCTCACCCTTCCGGCGGACAAAGCCTTAGCTGTTTATGTTCAATCCCCTGGGTCAGCTTTTGTGTACTGTGGTGCTGTTACTGTAGCCCGTCCATCTGCTGTTCTCTCTCTCCTCTGGCCGGAGCCTGGAAACCAAGGCCAATTTCTTACAGCGGACACTGCCCCGCTTTCTGCTAAGATTGGGGTGTCTGTCCAAGACTTGGCGACAGTCCCTTCTCTTGATATTGCTGCAGATAAGAAGATTGAGCACACCGCCCTCAAAGTTGGGGAGAATCTCTTTAATTTCATGCAGTCATTTTGTGGTGTCGATGGTAGCAAATTGATTGTGCCCATGGATATCTTGGATCGGTGGTTCAAGAAGTTCCAGGAACGTGCTAAGCGTGACCCTGATTACTTGAAGGGTTTTACCTTGTAGCTGAGTTAAACATTGAGGTACTGATGTAGAATTGAGTTTATCATTAATGATAGTATGAGTTTCTGCTTTGTTGTTGTTTCTTGTGTTGTTTGATTGTATGAACTTTTGATCTTTAATGTGGAATTATGGCTTCTATCTATGTTTTTATTTATAAAGGTTCTCAATTCATGTTATACCATATTAGATTTATCCTGCAATAACATATATGGAGTTTTAGACTTTTCGGTAGTTTGCTTTTTGATGGTCTTGATGTGAGAAAACCTGTTTGCAGTGAAGAAACTTAACACTTTTTTTCAGGTTTTTTTTTTTTTTTTTTTTTTCAATGACTTATGCGACTTTACAGATTTGTCATAATATAAGGGTGGCTTGGAACATAGAATATGAATGGTCTTTTGTAATCTGTATGATGGTGCTCGTGATTTCTATAAAACAACTCTTTTGGGGAGCTTATAGTCGTTATAGACATCTTAGTATCCATCACCACAAAAGTCGTACCATCTTATTTAATGGTAGAGACCCTTCCTCAGCTCAAGCTTTTTTATCTTTCAAATTCTAGATAGGTTATTTTACTTATGGAAGCTCGTCATTTTGGAACACTCTTATACTTTGTAGAAGCTGAATGCTAAGATTCTTGGACCTAGGAACTGCCTTTAAGTGATATCCTTGTCTGACGAAATTTATTCTGTAATTCCTTAGCCAAAAAGAGGTATCTAAGATTCTTCCTTTCTTCAAATTCTATTTTAACTCTGTATATAATCTTTGGAACCTTCAGGTACGTCCTTTCCCAGAGAGTAAGCGATCATTAAATTTTCCTGTGGGCCAGAATAGAATGAGAATAGTACTAAAGCTGCGAATTTTGCAACAACTTGTTAAGATAGTACTCTTTGAGTCCTGGGTATTTTTTTTTTGACGAATTCTTGGGTAATTTTATAACTCGTACGTTTCCTAAGAAGCATCTTAAAGGTCTTTGGGTGATGTGAGTTTGAATGGACTCTGCCCTAATTTGGGAATAAAAACTGTCGGTGTGGTTCATACGACCATAGTTGGTCGGTGAACACCTTTGCCGGCTGCCTGATGAAGATATGTCACTCCAACACCGATATTAGCCGGAAATCCCTGGGATATATTCAGATGAATCGGTGGAGCTTATCTTTCTTAGCAGTGCCACACCAAGGTTACATTGATATTTTTAACATGGTCAAGAGAGATGCCTGGAGTAATTGCCAAAATCTTAAATCTTCCCTTCCTCGTGCTAATGGATATGCATATCTCATGTTCAACAAGAGAAAAGTTGTGTCATAATTGTTTACATCTTTAGTCATTAAAACATTTCTACCAATTTTTAAAGGATTGATAGATAAACCATTCTCCTTTCTCCCTAAAACAGAATTGCCCGAAAGGTTTTTTCTGTATATCAATTATCAAACGACCATATAACTTGCTCCAAAGCCGTACAAATTTTAAAGATAACTGCCTTACCATCAGCCTATTGCTTCTAGATTGCAAATGCCCCTTAAACCCTAAATGCATTGCATATTGATATGATGTTGTGCTTATAAAACTAATTGGTTAACTATATCGTCTTTATGCAACCTATAAAAGGAGTTAAAGATTTAATTTAATTTAATTCAATTCAATTTTTTTTATTTTTTATTTTTTTTTAAAATGGTATTTAGGCTGTTATGGATGTTTTTAGTACCTCCGTTTCACATTGTACGATAATTGGGTATTTATTGTGAGCTATAAAAAAAATTCAATTGTTACAAATAATGTGAAACGGAGGTAGTATATAAATTGAAGAATTTTGTCTTTTGTAGCTATTTCTGCTCATTTATTATTTATTTCCAGCCATTTTATAAGATGTAAGTCAGTCTATTTCATCTAGCAAAAGATACAATCAACCCACTAACATTATTAAACTGTAAAAGTGTAGAACAATCGTATTTGAAGTCATTGATGAAAGAGTACACTGCACCTTGTTATTGACTTCATTGTTATAACTTATTACTATACTTACTTAGGAACATGAAAGGAAACCTTCAGTTTCAAGCTTCTAGGTTTTATTTGATCTTCTGTGTAAAATTCCACAACATTTTAAGTGTGAAATGCAAATGCAAAGGAGTGTTAGTATGACCAACCAACTAATCCTAACCACACCGATTTGTTTGTATAAACAATATTGAATTAGTAAACATAGCTTGATCCAATGGATATGAAGATATATAACTATATAAGCAAGCGAAAACATGTGATATTCATCCATAGACCACACCGGTAAAGCATTATTTTCCTTTGTGGTTGTTTTCTTTACATCGAAAAAATTTGATAGGTGAAGAGGGGAAAAAAGGGGAGAGAGAATACGCCTTGTCGCCTTATTACCAATGGCTGATAGTATCCTCACAAATCTAGCCCAACAACTAGGAGCCCTTGCTTTAGAAGAATACAAAGTGTCAAAGGGTGTGGGAGATGATCTCAAGTCTCTCGAAAAAGAGTTGAGATTCATGAAGAAATTCTTAAGAAATTCCGAGGGAAAACAACAAGATCATGAATTAGTGGAGGAGTTGGTAAATCAAATTAAAGAGGTTGCTTTTGAGGCTGAGGATATAATTGAAACTTTCCTCTTGAATGTTGAGACACAACGAGGAAGGACAACATTTGGGAGGGTCTTACACGGCCCAGGGTATGCAATGATGCTTCATGGAGTGGCGAAAAGGATTGATGCTATCAAAGCGGATATCAGTGGAATATATGCTAATAAGGAAAAGTATGGGATTGAGATAGGCGAGGGAAGTATGAATCCGCACTTTGAGGCCACCCTTCAAAGGCGAAGAAAGGAGGTCGATGAAGAAATGGTGGGGTTTGAGGACGTGACTAACACCTTATTAAAGCAGCTCACAGAAGGATCAATTGGATTGGAAATCATTTCGATAGTTGGGATGGGCGGCCTAGGGAAGACGACAATTGCCAAGACGCTATTCAACAACAGGATCATCAAAGACCATTTTAAGAGCCATGCTTGGGTGTCAGTATCTGAAGAATACAACACTAGTCAGGTCATCACTGATATCCTCAACAGAGTGGCACCCAACATGAATGGCTTGGAGGATTTGGGAAACGACAAGTTGAAGGAGATGCTAGGAGACCGCCTCAAGGACAAAAAGTACATAGTCTTCTTGGATGATGTATGGCAACAAAGCATGTGGGATGAAGTAAAGGCTTACTTCCCCAACAACAGAAATGGGAGTAGGATTGTCATCACCACCCGTATAGCTCAAGTGGCTAGGCATGCTAGTCATAGGGAGCCTCATTTTCTCCGATTTTTCACCCCGGAAGAGAGTTGGGAACTTTTTGAAAAGAATGTGTTTCGAGGGGATCCTTTTCCTCCTAACCTCAAATCCTTAGGGATGAACATCTTGGAGAGATGCAAGGGTTTACCCCTGTCTATTGTGGTTATAGCGAGTATGTTAGCTAGCCAAGAGAAATCGGAAAGGATATGGGAAAGGACACTTCAGGATGTGAGTGTTCACCTTGGCAAAGATGAAGCATGTCTGGAGATACTGGCATTAAGTTACCATAATTTACCGGTAGAGTTAAAACCATGCTTTCTCTATTTTGCAGCCTTTCCTGAGGATCATGAGATGTCTGTTCGAAGGTTGATTGCCTTATGGCTAGCTGAGGGGTTCATACAACCACTTGGAGAGCTGACTTTGGAGGAGGTGGCTGAGAGTTACCTAGATGCTCTTATTGATAGAAGTTTGGTCCAAGGTGGAACTTTGAGAGCAGATGGCGGACTCAAGACTTGTCGCATTCATGATCTAATACGAGATCTTTGCATTAGAGAAGCTAAAGGAGAAAACTTCATGTGGGCAGCTTCTAAGATCAGTAATCCCTCCTCGGTCTTAAACAAGAGCAAGCCAAGAAGGTTGTCAGTCCATCGCCACACAACACGTACAATCCTATCAAAAGAATGGGAGCCTTCTTCAATGCGAGCATTCTTATCCTTTGAATCCCAAAATACTTATGTGAGCTCAACATTCTGGAAGAAGTTGTACACTGAGTACAAGCTGCTAAGAGTCTTGGACTTGGGAGTAGCCATTAAAATTGAAACTATGCCAGACAACATCAGTCGTCTCTTCAATTTGAGGTACTTAAGGTTTTTTCTTGACGATCTTAACATTCCATATGCAATATATTATCTTCGAAACCTTCAAATTCTTTTTGTAGAGGGTAATGCATCACATAATATTTCTATGGGATTGCTACTAGAGCTACAAAAGTTGCAGCAACTCATCTTAGGAAACAGTATTACTAGGCTATATGGTAATCCAACAACTATGCTACCCAAGAAGCAACTCAATAGCCTCCGAGCCTTAACTTCTATTTACCCTGATAGTGTTTTCGAATGTGCTATAATGAATGGACTTTGTCCAAATCTTAGAAAACTCTCGGTATGTTGTTCTAAAGACCATGAATGGTCATTAAAGAACTTCCTAGCAAGTTTACATCATCTCCAGTCTTTGAAAATATCCTTCTTAGATGCCTTTCATAACAAAATTATATTCAAAGGTGTTAGTGAAGCTGAACTTCCATTATGCCTCACCAAGATTACATTGAAATTGTCCGGATGGTTAGAGGATGTCTTACATATGCTTGGAAAGTTTCCCAACCTTCGCATCCTCAAACTAGTAGATGTGAATTATTCCGGCCTTACTATAAGAGAAGGTTCATTCCCAAGACTTCATACCCTCCATTTGGACAATCTTCGTGGAGGGAAAGTGACAGTGCATCGTCCTTCACTTCATGGCCATGCAGAGTTAGGCTGTACACAACTGCACCATCTCTTTTGTTAAAAGATGTACTTGTATATTTGACAAGTATCTATTCATGTTGCCTAGCCTTAGAGATGTTGAAGTTTTGTGGCCAGAACCTTCTTTGGCACAAAAGTTGGAGGAAGTAAAACAAGAAAACAAAAATAAGCCTTACTATAGGCTTCTAGTCTACAAAGGCGAATAACAATCAGCAATGTTTGTTTGTTCATGGAATTGTCAGTTGGCGACATCACCAAAATAATATGTATCCCTGATAGTATGTAATTTTCTTAAGTCGTTACATATTAGGTAGAATTTGAAACCGTGTTAAAAATACGAGTATTATAAATTGAAATGTTGCTACAACTCTCAAATTGGGTGTCCAAATCAGGTTCGGGTTAAATTTGGTTCATAACCATGAGCTGATGTGTTTATGTGGATCAAATTCGAGTTCATGTTTCTTTGAGTTTGATCATTTCAGGTCAAAGGATTTTTTTTCTTACAAGATGTTGGACAGCTCTATTGATAATACTTAGTATTAGAAAATGAACTACTCCGTATATATTGATTGATAAGATTATAAATGATTAAATGGCCATCCACTCTATTTGGGCCTGGAAGCATGCCTCCAAAGTGAGATAAGATCTGCCATGCTAATTATGGGTCTACTGGACTCTTAATCCTTCCAAAGGCTATACTATCACTAATTATAATAAATGGCTTTAATATCCTCTTTAACAATATGCGTTAGGACGTATAGGCTTGGCGTCTATTGACAACTTCCACCATTCGTCCTAAATTAATCGTCATATAAGCAAATTGTATCGGCGAATCACTAAAATAACTTTATTTTACAATCGAAAAATATATAAAAGTGACTATTATTTTCAAATGGAAAGAGTCGATTAGAATATGGAGAAAGACAAAACCAAAGATAAACTTAAATTAAGCTTACCCCATGTATGAATCATTTTTTGGGTGGCTCTATCTAGTATCTACCTCTCTACCACGTCATTATTTGTGGTCAAGATTTATCATTTGCCACGGTCAAAACATTTTAGTCTTAGTCCGTACTATTCATTTTTTCCATCAAACGTACAGTTTCCGTATACACCATCTATTTGACTTTTAGAACTCGAACTATAGAGGATGAAATATATCATGAATTCAAGATGAATTATATAGAGAACTATCACTTTACCAACCAAACCTAACTTATAAATATATACTCTTAACAATTAACCTAATGTTTGAAATATGGACATTAAATGTAACAAGTCGGTTGGAATTGCTTGTTCTAATAAATGGATATAAGGTAGTTGGATTATATGTTTAAAAGGAGAAAAAATCTTGCGTGGACCTGGTTCACAATAATATTATTGTGGATTTAAGACTTATACGCACGTAACTAATATTACATTAAATATAGGGACCTTAATTTGAACATAATAACCTTATTTTTAACATAGTAACTTTTATTAAAACTCGTGTGACTTTTAATATTATTGTGAACCTGAAACACGACGTTACGTTGAATATAGTGACCTTAATTTTAACATACTGACCTTTATTATTCATATTGACCAGTATATAAAAATTTCATTAAAAAAAAAACCCCACTTATAGCCCTTATAATACCAAAATGACTTTTATTTCAACATAATAACCTTTATTTTAATATAGTGACTTTTATTTTATTTTATTTTATTTTATTTTATTTTATTTTATCTTATCTTTTTTTTTTATTTTATTAATAAAACCATAGTGTCTCTAATATTAGTGGTCTACAATAAATTAGTGTAAACTAGGTTCATTTAAGAGTTTGTATTAAAAGGAATAATAAAATATATGTAATAAAATTAAGTAACTGATTGACCTTACAAGATTATACTAAATTTTCGTTGGTAAGGATTGATTTTAACCATCATAGGGTCGACCTTACAAGATTATGTATGATTGAAGCACATCATGAATGACTCATGGGCACAAGTTAGACACAATCACACAACCCGATTGACGGCTGTTAAATTTCGTGATTATATGAAATGGACCTGGGTAACCCGAAATAAGGAGGAGGAGAGTTTGGTCCACAAACAAGGCTTAGGAACTTCGATACTAAAATCAATTGGCAATAATATGAGTATCTCCTCTACCTTATAAAGTAAAACTACCTATTCTCTTTCTCCAATATAGGACACTCACAAGTGGATTACAATGGGTTTCAACAACGGCATAATGTACTATGCACGTTAGGTTATAGGTCGTGTGTAAGATCGTCTATACAAGTTTATAGCACAACACGAGGGGATTGTCTATACAAGTTTATAGCACAACACGAGATATAACTCGGTGCAAGTTGTCACGAAATTTAAGTATAAGAATAACATGGGCACACGCCATAACATACATATGTGATATATGGGTCGTGTTGTGCCTATCAACCTATTGGCACGGAGCATAAGTACTTAATTATTTGCATATACGCTCTCATAGAATTTGACATATATGTAGCTATCGAAAAGTCCATGGTGCACTAAAGTAGCTAATACGAGTAGTTCATAATTTATGATTTTCGATAATATCCAATGCATTATAATAACTAACATGGAGAAGCATCATGTAGAAAATTCCATCTATAAAATGACAAAGCTATTTTTAATACGAAAATGATGGATCATATCAACTAAGTTCCAACTAAATAGACGTGTATAGTCTAACGCAATCAATTGGTTACTAATACACTGTTTATCCAATTGCCTACTACAAAAATTATTTTAAATAATTAATTAAAAATTGACTCGACAAAAATTAATATCTCATAGACCTTAGACCAAATATTTGAAAAGTATTCATAAAGGGCGAAAAGAACTATACGTAAAGATGGGGAGAATCAACATGAAATATGTCATGCTAATAAAGAACATCTTCACACTTCATGTTTAGTGTATTTTACGGTCATTCCATTAATTCTAATTGCAAATCTTAATTACGCCGACAAATCCTTTTCATTAGCTGGCTGAGATTTTAGCTTGATCGATTAGAAGTTTAGAGCCGCTATATTAACCATTTAATATTACGGAGTATATTTGAGAATATTATTCGAATATTCTTCTCATAAGTTTAGGATTTTTAATTATATACGGAGCAATACGTTACTTCGTATCATATTAAAATTAGTAAGTTTTCTAACACTATTAAATTGTCTACATTATTATAATTTATAACACTTGTATAGATTGATCAATGGAAAACATTTTAATTTAGGGGGTTTCTTGTACGTAATATTACATGGTATCACGTCTTAAATGTATTCTAATTTATCAAAATTTCTCTATTATATATTGGCGTGGGATATGATAATAATCCATAATCCCTTGTGAAGTATAGGCAACTAGCTAGTCGTCAATTAAAATGCCAAAAGCTATTCTCTTGACTACAAATTAAATAAAATAATACAAATCGTTTGTTATCTATTATAACATTTGATGTTTTAAGTATGTCACTACGCACTAATATATTTTTTTCAAAAATATTTACTAAAATCATATAAGGAGTAATAAATATCGTAACATTACTTTACATATTACGAGTACGAGCTGAGTGTACCCTTAAATATCCTCTATTACATATGTCGAAATGATTCTAACAAGATCTCATATGATCTTACTCCATATTATCTTTTCCGTGCACAAATATCTCATCATATGATTACAAAATAAAGTGTGAACACAATACTATGGAGTGTAATAGAAAATGTCAGAGAAAGTAAGATCGACTTGGGTTCACATACTGAATTGAATCTGATGAGAATGGTTGACATTAGAAGTAGTTGACAATATGCTCAAGTTACATCTAGCCTCGATAATTGTGAATGGTTGACTATTTGGCAAGCTAAGTAAATTATTGAAAATAAAACGTTGACTATATCCCATGAACATTAATAATATTGTACGTGGTAGCATGTTATAATGAATTGATGAACTGACTAATTAAGAATATTTTATTAAATAATACATTAATTAATATATATACTCCGTACTCTACAAGTTATGGGAGTAGAGTCCAGTACGTATTAATAAGTTGATAGATTTATTATAAACACAAGTTCAAATACTAAGGCTAATCCTAGATCTTCAAGTCGAGTTTAAAATTAAAAAGTTTATATAAGCTTGACTAATTAATGAGTTCATACAAGCTTAAGGTTTTATGAGTCAACATAATAGCTAATTAATCATTACCGGCAATATATATTTTATGTTAGTATTTTTACCATTTTCATTTCTTTGATTTAGAGCTACATGTAAAGGGTTTTACCTATGAATTAACATCATTTTGATATAAATAAAAACAGTATTCTTATATAATTATGAGAATGTATTGACCAATAATTTTGTTGAATTTCAAAATTTTCTATGTAGTTAATAACCAAGACGATTAAGTAGGAAAAATGCAAATACAGTTGAGAAGTAGGCTTATAGAGCAAGGTTTACGGAGATTAAAGAGTAATATCATATCTTGGCAAAGGTTCTTTGAATCAACTTATTAGAATTTCTATACTACCTCTTAAGAGTCTCAACATACTTTCGAATAATATCATATGTTCCATACCATCAAATGAAAATGAAAACACGTATAATTATTATTTTAGTAGATATATCATTTCTCAATATTAAGTTATTCTATATGTATGTCTTGACTCAACCAAACTCCAACGTAAAGTTGAATCATACACAATAATGGATTTTAGAATAAAAACTAACAATACTAACTATATTGTGCATGATCAATTTGTTTTACTACCGTGTCACGTATTCTTAGTTTTCCAAAATTATAAGACAAACTAAACATAGTTTGTTATATGATGATTATTAGTCAATCAAATATTTACTCAATTTGGATAATTGGATATCAAATAAACATATCCATAAAGATTCATACGTTGACTTCCAGAAACAAACATGAGAAGATCAGATATATAATGATCTCATAGAGAGATCAGATATATAATGATCTCATAGAGCTACTAATTCTTAAGCAAACCGAATTTTGGACCAATCTTTGCTATTACAAGAAATGTATGTATGAAATATACAAAATATACATTAATAAATTTGGCAAGTTGGTTAGTTACGTATGGTTTGAAGTGCATAAAACTAAATCTAAATGTGACTTTTGCGTCTATAAATCTTGAAAGTCAGCTTAGAAAAAACATGAAAGAACGCTTTCATTAGGTAAGAGTGTGACAGTTCTACTGTTCTATATATCGACATCAAATAACATGATTATATGAATAATAGTATATATATATACTAATGGAGTATACCTAATCTCAAGGCATGTACAATTCTTACCAACACATTGGGGCTTTAAGCCTTTAAGAAGAAATGCTTAGAAGAACTAATTTGATAAGTGGTCTAA